GGAAGCCCCGCGCCCGCTGGCAAACCCGCGCGGAGCTCCCACCGCCCCCGTTGTAACCGTTTGCACGTCGCAAGCCTTCAGCTCTGCCGTGTCGTGCGTGACTCCCGCCCGCCTGCAGCACGCGTGCTCTCGGAGCGCAGCTGGAATGCCGCTGGGAACGTGCGCTTGACCAGGAGTCTTGCTACCAGGCGCGGTCCCGGGAAGCCACGCTGCTGTGACCGGCTCCAGATGTTTTCCTTTTGTCTGGCAGCGCTGGCACCGTCAGCGCAAGCTGAAGTTCTGTGTGACTTCTGTTCCTTGTCTTGTAGTAGACGGATTTATTGTGGATCTGTAGCAAATGTCAACTTGTTGCAAGACTTAATCCAGTGACAAAATTTGCTTTTCTTAAATGGCAAAGTAGAGCTATTAGTATCAACTTCTGTTTTTGGCATGTTGAGCTTTTTCCAGGGGTGTCTTTGTGTAAGTTCCCGTTCAAAGGAGCTTTGCATTTTAGTGGCAGCAGACTGTGTTCCGGTTCGCAGCGTTGCTTTAGCCAAGGATTCAGCAGCAGTATCACTAATTTTTGTGTGGAAGGTTCAAGACCCTGAAGCTATGTGGGCTGCTGGAATCTGTCACTATCTGTTTTTTTTTTCTTATTTTGATATTATGGAGAACATTGGGTTTTTTAATTGGAGATATGATTTAACTGCAAGAAAATTCTTTGAGCTGAAACTTTGGATCATTTTGGTCTTCCTCTTAATTTTTTATCTCTAATGGTGTCTTTTGAGTGTTTTTTAATGTAAAAACTAAATATCTGACTGGATCAAACTTTGTTTGGTGTTCCATTTTATAACTGTTAAGCCCATTTCCAAATTAGTAAACCATTTTTTAATATACTCAAGTATTCGAGGTATTCGGTTCTGCAGATGATAGCTTGTGCGTTTAACATAAATGAAATGACACCATGAGTTAGTTACTGAGCTCCTTTCACCCTCCTCATGGCCAGCAAGCCATTAACATGTTCCCATGACAATTTGCAGGCAGACAGAAGTGTTCATTTTCTCTTTCTGTGGCCAGCCTTGAACTGGAAGAGCCTAGAGCTGAGGCTGGTGTGGGGCTGAATCAGAGCAAGTGGGCCGTGCTGAGCAGCGGGGGGTGTCTGTATTAATTTGGACTCCTTATTCTGCTAATGAGGCCATGCCGTTTCAGGTTTGGAACAGGCTTATCTGCCTACTCAGCACTAGTAGAGGGAGTGTCTACCTGTGGGAGACTAGAAATATCTCTAATCTCATTCCATTAGTTTGTCAGTCCCACTCTCCAGCAAAGCTCCCTCAAAAAAAGCAGCTGTTGCCTGTCCCTGTTCTGTTGCATGAGGATGACAGACTAAAGGTAGCTCAAATTCTTTGGGGACAAAATGTATTTCTAGCTCCATAGCTGAAACAGATGAATCCTTTAATTTGAAGTTTTTCAGAATATGTTTCCCCCGTGTGGAAAAGTTCAGCCGGAACTTTGAAGGTTTGGCAAAGTTACAAGCAAGGAAGATCTTTGAATGGAACCAGTGTTGGGCAACTGTAAGAGGTGGCGCTTCCAGGCTGACTTACCGCTGGTTATCCTGCCCTGGGGTTCTCTGCCTTTCTTTTCCTCATGAAATAGGATTATCAGGGTTTTTTGATTGTACAATATTAGTACCTTTACTAATTTACAGTTTTATTTACAGTGTTTCCAAGATTTGGGAAAAAGCATTTCAAAATAAGCATGTGCTATTATTTCTTGTTATGGGGGGAGGGCAACAAATAATTATGCCTTTTGTTGATAATATCTAGAAGAGAGGGAAATCTCTCATATTGAGAAGATATTTTTTCTTTTATAATTTCTTTGAGGTTTTCTGTCTTTGTACGGGTGTTTCAGTATACCATGCAGCTATTCCTGTGTGCATCAGTTCCTTGCCTTTCAAAGCAAACTTCAGGAAAAAGATAATGCTTTAATGTGAATGAGGAAACGCACAAGAGATGAAAGAAAATCACTTGTGTCTAAGCTTATCCTGCAGTCTTCCTTCCCTTCCCCCTTTTTTCCTCTTACTAGAAACAGTGTGGGTTTACTGGTTTAGTTTTTCTCTGGGATGATGGGTGACGCTTTGTTGTTTTAGGTAGCACAGAGGAACTCCTCAGACTCCCTAAATCTCATCTCAGGAACTGAGTGCAGGGCCAGGAAGTGTCTTACCAGATATGCTTGCTCCCCCAGGTGTCCAGAAGTGGTCCTCAAAGTCTTGGATTTTTTACTTGAGGTTTGTTTTGTGATGGAGACAGTGTTGAAGTCTCACTGTGATGAACAGCACCCTCATCAGGCTGAAGACTTCCATGGGAAACATGAGCAGAACAGCAAGCTTTCAGGTATGTGCTAAAATAGGGATTGCTAACATTATGTTTTGTTGCTGACATGCTTCTTCATCACTTCAGGAAGTTTCAGCATCAATTATAAGCCTGTCTGTATATGGTCCTGTTGTATAAAGAATTAATGAAATGAAAACATTTGAGGTTGCTTTTGATTTTAAGCTTATTCCTGCTTTCCGAGTGTTACAAAACTTCAGCAGCAGTAGTTTGTCACAATTTGCTAACCTTACTATTTATTTATTACAGAATACGTTATTATAAGAGGATACCAGAATTCCAAAAAGGCAGTCCTTGAGAATAAAATTTTCTGACCAGACAAGTACACAAAAATAATATTTTTGCCTTTTAACCTATAATTGCCAGCCTTAGCCTTAAATTTCTTTAGATGTGTCTGTGTGCATAAAAATACTGTTCTTGCTCTTCCAGAGAAGGTGAACTACGAACATGTAGCTCTGATAGTGTTTTTGGTGCTTGTTTTTGGGTCTCTTTGTGAATGTACTTCAATCTGGACTTTCTGTACAATGCTTGCTCAGTAATTGTGGATGGTCAGCCAGCTTATATATAATGGCTACTGATTCTCCTAGAAATAGATAGTCCTCCGTCAGTCCGTTGCACATCCATGTCCAGAATTGCATAGAGTGATGCTGAATAATGTTTAATTGCCTCACTTCACAAATGCTTTTCATTCTAGGAAGTAAAGAAACTACTTTAAAATCTGCTTGCAGAAAATGTTGGATATTATTATTATACACTGGTGGTACAATGACTGTATGTCCTCTATACCTGGCTGGGGATTCAGGCCCCCAGAAGAGAACAGATCATGTTTATACTGCTGTCTATCAACACAGACAGTCACTGACTGTTTCTGGCACTTTTCGGGATCTTTCACACAAGCAGCTGTGTTGAGTTACTAAATGCTCTCAGTGCCTTGGGTAGGCACCGCTCTGGCCTAGGATCTGCAGCCTGTGTCACCCACTGTTAGTGCTCCGATAGCATTGAACTTTCCCAGGCAGGAGCCTGAATTCAGTGTTGGACAAAACAGAGTATTTGGCAGATTCTATAGCAGTTATTGAGAGAGCTTTTCATCATTGTTAGTATCTACCTTAGGACCGTTAGACTGGTGGCACAAAACAACCCAAAACCTGTTATAGCAAAGAAAGTAGAAATCTGCTTTTCTGAAATCTGACTTAAAAGATGTGCCTTTTGTGTCCTTGTTAGAAGTCTTGGTTTTTCCCAGAATTAAGTCTTTTTTTCCTAACCAAGCAACTTTACTGGAGAAATTCCAGTGCAAATTTTATGTTGTAAGTTACTGTCAGTATATTTTTTTTTTAGTAAAAACTGAAGCTTAAGCAACTCTCATCAGAAGCGACTAAAATGCAAGCGTTGGAACAAAACTGTAAGTTGCTTTATTTGGAGCAGTTTAGATAGCGAACTAGTTCTAAACGATGTTGTTCTAACAGAGCCTGTCAGAACTATATCACTGTTGAAAACAATTTTCTAGCTCTGTCCTGTGGCTACTGACCTCTTGGGATGAAGTTTATGTAAGATGTTTCAGAACCCAATAACAGGATTCTCTTCCTGAGGGGAAAGGCCTATGTCTTTGAGTGATGCAATAACATTCCCGTGTTAAGTTCTTTATAGTTCTGTTATGTAGTTTCATCTCTTAACGTCTTTTGAGTATTCCTGGGGAAAATGGAACACAGTACAAATATCAGCCTTTCCCCTTCCTGTATTTTCTGAAGATTCCAGAAAGCTTTCTTGAATGCCTTACATTTGTTATGAAATACATGGGCATTTGTGTAAAAAGTTGAAATTACTGTGCAAACTAAGTGGAAATACCGCTTTTTAAATGATAAAGCTTTTTATCCCAATTCTTTTTTTAGTGACAAAACAACAAGAATCACAGCAATAATAGATAAATTTCTTAATTTCTGAGCACGTGGGCAATATGAATGCTATCAATTCAAAAGATGTTATGTAGTAACTTCTTGAATTTTTAGTGTTATTTTCAACAGAAATTTTTACTATATTGACAGGAAAATGAAGTGATTCCTCAAACTTTCAATTTCCTACTTTTCAAGGTGTTTAACTTAATCTGGCTCTGTAAAATTGGGGAATAACCAGAATAACTGTACAGTTGACCAGTCTTCTGTAGCCTTTTCCTTTGGGGATTATTAGACACAGGGTCCTGTACACCTTGACTGTTAGTACAAGTCTGGTTATTTTTATTCTAGGATATTTTTGAAGATTTTAAATATGACTCCTAGCAGAACTGATTGACTTTTTACTTGTATTTGTTGATCAAAACAGTATCTTAAATGAATGTTAGCCGTTTTGGTGTGTAGTGTAGGGTTTTTTCCCATTCCTGAAATATCCCCCCTGAAATGACTTAAAACAAATTAACTTGGAGAAGCAGAGGGAACAACTTAAAGGAAAAAAATAAGTAAATGGATAGTAAGAGAGGCAGCAGGCTTCAGTTCTCAAAAGTATTTTTAGTCTGTTGGTTTTTATAAATTTTTGAAATTAAAAAAAAATTACAATCAAAAGTTAACATAACTTGAATTACCAACTAATTTATTGGGCTTCTACCAGGAAGAAAGGGTTCTTTAAGTAGACTTTCGATTTTGTTGCTGTATAAAGTGAGCTAACATAGAAGGTTGGGGATGCATGCTAATCCATACTTCGTTTCTAGCATATCATTCATATTTTGAAAATAGTTCTCATTCCTTGTGACTTACTGTCCTGGTAAAACATAGTACATTTTTATGTATACAATTGATATATTTATGTTAAATTTAATTTCTTATTTATTTTTAGGATGACAAATGTATACACAATTTTTTTCTTCCATTTGATTGACTTTCCAAATACCAGTTTGTGCTTACTTCTGTATAATAAAATACTCTTCACCCCTGGTTTACAGAAATTAGTCTGTAAACTACTTGTTTGTAAACTGAATGGAAAACTACATAATTTTTTAAAATAATACAGTACAACATCGTTGTTATGCCATCTAGTGATTGCAGCACAAAGTGCAGCAACTTAAATGCAGCGCAAACGTGTGTGTACTATTTTAAGTAACAGTGTGAAAGATTACATTATTGATCTTAAAAAAAAAAAAAAAAAAAAAAAATTCTTTTCCTACATTTTTTATTTGCATCCCATGGATGTGCTCCTGTGCTTATAGAAACAACTATTACAGTTTTGTCTTCTATGAAATTGACATTGCAAATCTGATGAAAACATTTATCGATGAGCTGTAAGTTGATGTCTTACTAACCAGAAGGCTTTTGCTCTCAGGAACTGCAAGGTGGCAGATAAGTTAAAAAAAAAAAAAAAAATTAAATGCTGCAGTTTATAAGGGAGTGTGATGAAGAATAATAATAATATCAAGTATGCAGATGGTAATGTCAGCAGGCATAGATACCCGTCTGCTGTTTTTTCCTCTGCTTATGTGAATTCACCGTCCTATGCACTGAAGTGTGATTTGTGATCTCAAATATAGATCAGATATTGAATCAAACAATAAAATTCCTAATTTACTTTCCCCATTCT